CAGTAAGAATAAGTACGTCGTGCGCTCCGCCCACTGGGAGCGGGTTACAACACACCACAGACACACTCAACTCTTGCCATATATCCAACAGTTGAGGTCCTGCACATCTCTGCTTACATGTTGACGCTCTGAAACCGTTCTTGCAGAATTTTTTGCTGGCTCCGCCCACCTCGGGCTGGCCCCGTCCACAACATTTATGCCCCACATTTCTCAATGGGCGACCCGGGTTGACCTTAATCCACTTTTTTCCGGTGTCTGGAGTGCTCCGAAACTATTTTACAGATTTTTGTCTGACTCCGCCCACCTCGGAGCAGGCTCCGCCCACAATGTTTGTGCCCCACAATCCTCACCGGCGACCCTCTGCTGACCTTAATCCACTTTTTCCGGTGTTCCAGTGCTCTGGAACCGTTTTACAGACTTTTTCTCTGGCTCCGCCCACCTCGGAGCAGGCGCCGCCCACAATGTTTGTGTCCCACAATCCTCAATCGGACCAGCCAGACTTTTCCGCTGTGCGCAAGTGAGAGAGGAATCCGGAGCTCCGCACTCCGCCGACGATCGAAGATCAGAGACGCCGCCGCTTTTGCCAAGGTTTCGAAGATCAGGTGGGCCGGGAACGCCATGCGTTTTGAAGACGTTTAGAGCGATCACCGACTGGATTCCACGGGATGTCAAGCGAACGCCTGGACGACCGCCTACGCGATGGTCAGACTTCTTCGTGAAAGCTCTGAACGAATGGTATGAAGTTCATCGTGTCCCTCGAGCAGAGAGAGTCCATTGGGCAACTCTTGCACGTTGCAGGGACGAATGGAGACGTTACTGGCGCCCGCTCGAGGAACTCGATGATCAACGGGAGCACAGGTGATACAAAGATGAAGCCATTTGGACGCAATAACACTGAGAAACTTGGGCATCAATTGCGCTGAATTTTGCCCTGGTATGAGCAACCTGATACTCTTGATCCCCTACGCTACGTGCGACATCGGAATACCGCGGATTCATATGGTTCTGCAGAGATAGAAATAACACTCGTGGAATTGCGTTTCACCTCACTCATTACACTCCCACTAGTCCTTTCCGCCAATGTAGCAGTATATCAGGAATCCCAAAAGGGAAAAGTTTCAAAAAGCAAAAAAATAGGTCGACTATGTCCTCACTCGCAGTCCATTTCACATTCATCGTTTGCTAGCTGAACTACGTGATATATGATATCCACTCTGAAGTTTGCAATTTAGCGCGGAAATACACCCAAGAGCCCTGAGATGCAGATCGGAAGAGCCCTGGCAGATGCTGGTAGCATAGCTGGTGTACTTGCATTAGCGGCTGCAATGGTGGAATGTTTTCACTTGAAGGCGAGTTGTAATCATGTCTTGTCTGTCGCACAGAACAGCTTCACGAAAATTTGTCTCAAATTGATGTATCCCGCGAGCAACAACGCCCACTCCGTCTGTGGGATAAGGAGTGCGAGGCGAGTTTGTGGCAACTCAGCGTTAGGGGCGTGCCGTCCAAATGAATAGAAGATACCGTTGCTGAACAAAGTAAGTCTATTTCAATGTCACGTATGATGGATTAAAGCCAGTACAAGCAGTGTAAGCGTGGCTACCTTTGCTCCATGACGACTCATGCCTTTTCAGGGGGAAGCAACAGCTCGCCGAATCTATGGAGACACCCCTTCAGAGCTGCAGACTCCTTCTCCCTAAGGGAGATGCCCTCCAGACCTGCTTTGTCGTGTCATCTCTCTTTTGCTCGCACATTGTTCTCATGTAGCACGTCTCTCCTTGAGTAGGTATTTGCCTTCGCTATGCGCCGTGCACTGATTATAGCCATTTGATATATGTGTCAACTTGTGTATTTTTTATTGCCATTCTCCTCATATTATACAAGATAAACGTTAGTAACTTATTTTTGGTGTCGAAGCAGGTAATGGTGCAGCTTCCACTGCGGGCGCGCGCCTACTCCAGAGTCCGTAAGAACACTGCAATCGTCACGAAATCCAGACACGAGTTAAGATCAGACGACGTCTTCTATACCACTGTAAAAAGAAAACGGCCTTCTTATTGGGTGTTCCCCAAGAATCCTTCTGAAGGGTGTGTCGGATGGTGCGTGTTCATAATGCTTGCTATGTATTATGCACTATGCGCGGTGGCGAGCGACGTTGCGCGACAGACAACTTGCCCTCCCTAACTGTTTCTTTAATGCCAATTAAACGTGAAAATCCTAGATCGCGTGGCATCCTGTTCCCACTTGAATTCCTATGAGTTTCGCTGTTCCAGTTGACAAACCGATGCACACGAGAACCTGCCATAGCCGCACGAACAATACCGACGCGGACATTACGATCATCATGTCCATCCCATAGATCGAATAAATAGGCCACGACTGGTCACACAGAGGTCTGTGCATTTGCAGTTCCTGCACCGCGAAAACTTGTCCTCAGCGAGTTATTGTTGGCTGCAGAATTCACTGCGCAATCGTGATGTTCGGGTGAGTTGGTTGCCAAGCTTCTCGCTCCCTATCAGACGAGTGACGAGGCTATCTCAAGCCCACAGACCTACGTTTACCTGGTTCTTCATTTGATCACGTCTTTCTTTCTTCTGATCTTTTTCATTGCATCTTGTCACCATGGGAGTAACATATTCTTTGGCAGCTCCGATTGTGGAGATGAGAGTGGTTCTGCAACCCAACAGTTAGTTAACGTCGTCGTTTATACTCGCTTCCCAGTCTGCATGCCCGTAGAAAGGTAAGATGATTTCGTTATGACATTTGAAATCCTCTTTGGTAGACCTGCCGTCAGTTTTGAATCTTTCTTCACGCGTACCCTTTCTAGAGCTAGGAGGCATGATACTAAAATCAAGAATCCGCTGGTGAAAACCGAGATCCGCTCCAAATTCTTTTCTGTAAGGGTAATAGCCTCTCTCAACAAACTTCCTTACTCGTGACGTCATGCATTTCTCTCTGAATTCCTTCAAGTATGTTGCCAAAAAATTGGTGAACCTTGAGGATTCGCGGGCTTCTCTCATTTGATTTCCTCTCGTGCTAGTTCACTACCTCATTATTTTTTTATGTTCCCCTCAATTTAGTCTTCTGCTTTGCTATAGTCACTGATTCTTTTTTTCTGTTGTTGAAGTGCACTGGTATGCCAGTCGTTGTTGTGATTTTGTTTTCTCACGTGGGCTCATACCTGCGTCAATAAATAGAAGTAGTTAGGAACTTCGGGAGAATGGCATTTCCGACCAATGCGGCCGAGTATTAATGCCAACCGCACCCGTCCGACCCCCTAATAACGGAGTGTCATGGCAAACTCGTGAAGTAAGGGCATCTCAGGGCACTTGTCAACCGCGGAGCCTCTCTTCTCTTTCCTTTTTCCTTCCTCCTTCCTTCTTTTCCTTCGTTCCTTCTCTGTTCCCTCCTTCCTTCCCTTCAACTACTGTGCCACGGCTGTACGTGAATACGGGCACGATACATCATAGCTGACGCCTAACATCCTTCCATTTGCAGTTTAACGTTTTTCGTTACTTGTGTAAAATCTGTCGCTTGAAGGCAAACCAGTGGAACTTTAGTCTAGTTTTCAAACTTAATAATGTTGCAGAACAGCTTGCTTTTGAAGGTGAGCTTGGAGTGATGGCTTCGCTGTTTCAAATGGATCGGGTGCTCTATCAGTGCGGATGTGAAGACTGGTGGCCTCTCTGTAACCTCTATTTTTGCCGACACTGCTCCATACTTCGGTTTGCCTATAGTTCATCAAAGATTTTAGTTTCATGTTGGAATGTGAAGTTGAGTTAATCTAGCAATAAGGCTTATTCAGATGCATATCATGCAGTCTCAACGAAATTGATTCAACCTTCTGTCCAAACTGCTTGGAGAACATTCCAGCTGGCGAGGCTCGAGTGAAGAAGAATAGATGCATCAACTGTAACCAGTGCCCAGTATGCTGTGAGAGTTCTTGATCAATTCTTGTTTAGTCGTCGCAAGGTTGTGTATGTGATTGGGCTTGTAGTTTCGTCGTCTATGAGTTCGTAATGGTGGTTCTGCTCCTTTCAGCAATGGTATTAACAACAAGAGCAGTTGGTGAATCATGCCACTTAATGTGTTCAACCTGTCGATGGTCAACTAGGGACTCAGGCACGCCTGACCAGCCATCCAGCATAAATTGGCCTGTGTGAGTTCATTTATATGACTGGTGCTTCCTTTACCTTGCCCTTTTTGACGACGGTGTGACTTAAAGGCAGTTGGCACGATGGTTTCCTACTTAGCCTAAAATGCTAGTAGGGCGCTGTATAGTGGGGAAATGGCGAAAGAACGGAGTGAAACGGTCAAAATCCGGCGAAGAAAAAGCCTCCGTTCTCAGTGACTTGTAAATCGATTTCGGACGAGTTTCCCGTACGCATCTTGCCAATCACCGCTACCGAAGATACGGCTGCATATGTGTACCCATATATGCATGCAGCATCACCGCCGCTTCATACCAATCCCTTTGCTTCATAATTTGCTCAGCAAATGAATGAATACGAGCGTCAGAAACGGTCGTCCGTTTGTGGGCGGGCGGGCAAGGAAGGCGTTTGGGACGTAAAGTTGTTGCTCAATAGGGCGTTATAGAGGTACCCTCCTTGGAAAAGGCTTCACGCAGCGCCTGTCCGAGGTC